TTTTGGGGATTCACCCAAAGTGAGAATATCTTCCTCCTTTCCAGAATAGTTTTGGGCAAGACTAAAAAACAGGTCTCCTGGGTAGACATTGATAGAGCTTCCTTTATGCAGAAACGAAGTAGACAAAGATTTCTCAATCAGGTAATTCTAGTTATGCACCAGAGCTCTTCGAAGCACTGCTCCTTCCCTGAAAAGACTGGAAGACTGAGGGCCTTCCCCAGATCAGAAGGCAGACGATGTGGGAGTTTCAGTATTTTCTGATACTTATCATTGGCCTCAGCACATAGAAATCACAAGGTTTTAATGACTGTTATCAGATGGCAAGGCTGAGATTTCTACAGTGTGTGGACCTCCAGGTTGCGTCCAGTTCTGTCACCGTAAGATGTGTGCTAGGTACTCAGGAAGAGCGGTGTGTGGGGAGGATCCTCCACTAAACAGCACTCACCCTTCCCTTTTCCAAAGGCATATCTACAATGAGTCTACTTAATGACCTTTAAGATCACACATGGCCCGCAGTAGTGAAGAGGCCCATCCCTTCTCTTCTGTAATAAGTTGTATTTGCAGGGCAGACCCTTCATCACACAGGGTTTACTGCAACTGGCAGGGTAACCGGACGTGAAACAAGGCTGCACAGAGAGCCTTAATCTGCACCAGGCTAATGAGGAGCCACCCAGCTTGTGCTCTGTGAATACAGTAGAGGACAGGCCCATTAATTATAGACCAGAGGGTGCCCAGCCGAGACTGCAGTGGTTCATCTAATATGATCGTTGTTTGAATTATCTCTGAGTTACTCTGTGCTTCCACAGATTGATCATTAAGACTTTCCTGTCATTCCTGAGCTTCACTGTTTGCTCTTCTCTAAGTCTCCAAACACAGAGGCTGTGCCTAGGACAGCACAGGGTGCACAGAAAGTCTTTAATAAGTAAGAGTTTATATAAAGGGAAACAAAAAACTTTGGAGGTATGGCTATGTCTATTACCTTGACGGTTTCATAGGTGTATGCACATGTCCAAACTCATCAGATCATATATGTTAAATATGTGCCATTTATTATATATCTATTATACCTCAATAAATCTGTTTTTAAAAATAAAAGTAAATAAGTGAATACACAGAAGCTTATGTGCTCACTTCCTTAATTAGATGGCGAGCTGCTCCAGACAGAACTTCTGGCCTACCAACCCTTGTTTGGAGCTCACAACAGCTGTTCAACATTGATTATTAAATGAATGAGTGACTTGCTTTATGAATTATCTGTGGAACAGAGGCCCTACTCCATACTTAATTGGGAGAGAGCACGGCCCGGTTCCCAGCACCTCCTAGATGGGAAATGTAGGGGGTCATCAAAGGCATCATGGGAAGAGGTGAGAGGCAGCTTCACTCCCCAAGGCCAGCTGGCGAATGGAGAACATCAACTCATTTTCAAGCCCTTGGGAACAAGCTGTCACCCTGCAAGGCCAGGGGTGAGACTGTGCCCACCCCTTTTACAAAAATAGAGGCTGAACTATCACCAGACTCCTCTGACTGCCAAGAGCTTCCCAGATCTGGAATTAGAGGCCTCCGCCAACCAGCCTCCCACCAGAAGGGAGGCTAAGACTTGGCTCAGGCAGTAACTACTTCCTCAAGCCCTTGTTTAGATGTGGATCCACACTCACAGCCCTTATTTCAAACCATCACCTACTTCACCCCTTTCCAAAGCCACCAAATAAGTCAAAGGCTGAGGCACTTAGCTCTGCACAGGTATTTTAAATTAATCTTAAAGCAACTTAAAAGGACTGTTTGTCTAGCCTGTCCAACACGCAGCACATTTTCAGTGGCAGCTGGGTCAAGCCTGAGTGGCATTTTTACCACTGACTCAACCTCAAAATATTCCTGGGCTGCCCTCATCCTATCTTCCTTTTTGCTCCCTTGTTATATTTTGAATATTCTCTCCCTCTCTCTCCCCGCCCCTCCACTCCCATGCACATGCATGAACATACACACGTGCACATGCACACACTCCCCCACACTCCTTTTTAAGGTATGAGCTCATCACACAACAGGCATTCTAAACTTAGGGTTCATGGATAGAATTCAGGGATCATATACTTGGACAGAAAAAAAAATTGTATCTTTATTTTTACAAACCTCTAACCAAAATATAGCATTCTCTTCCACTAGGAACACAGTCAACAAACTGCATTAGTGTTAGCAATGCTAGTGTCTTTGACTCCAACAGAAACACACACATTTTCACATCAATCACATCAGGGTTGTTGCCCTGAAACATCATGTATTTATGTTCATCACTACCTCAGGATTATGGTAGCTATTAGACTTCAAGTAGATCTTATTAGCATGTTAATTAAGAAGTGCATATAGTGCTGCTATTTTTTAAATGTAACAACTGTATTTCTTTATTTTTAGCTTTTATTTTAGATTCAGGGGACACATGTGCAGGTTTATTACCTGGGCATAATCCTATCACCCAGGTACCGGGTGTAGTACCCAATAGTTTTTCAACCCTTAGCCTCCTCTCTCCTTCCCATCTCTAGTTGTCCCGTTTCTATGTTGCCATCTTTAAGTCCATGAGTATCCAATGATTACCTCCCACTTATAAGTGAGAACATGTGGTATTGGTTTTCTGTTCCTACAAATAACTGTGTTTAAATAATTGCATTCCAAGCCTATGTATATTTTTTGTACATTTTTAAATGTTATTCTGAGAAGAGGTCCATCGGCTTCACCAGATGAAAAGAGTCCATGGCACAGAAAGAGCCTCTGCTGTGGAATAAGCATTAAAAGGTAGGATTTGAGATTTTTCTCTAGGGTCATCAGGGCATGTGCCAGGAGATCTAGGGGCTAACAGGTGGTGTTCAGTGGTAGCAGGAGGCAGGTTCTGGGAGCAGAGAGACAGGTGAGCTATTGGATAAGAGCTTGGATGGGCTTTGGAGACAGACTAAAACACTGGCCCTGGCTAACCAACAGTATGACCTTGGGCCAGCCACTTCACCTTTCTGAGTTTCCATTTCTTCAACTGTAAAATAGCAATTATCATATACTATATGATTCTCATGAGCATGAATTGAGGGAATAAATGTGTAACAGCAATTACTGCCCTGTTGAATGGAATTTAGCTGGCCTTAGAAGGGCAGTTTCCTTGACCTGGGAACTTCCGGGGTTATGGTATACTGTTTGCTTGGTTTTTGAGACAGGCATTATCTGTGCCCTATGCAGGCTTCCCGTCCTTGAGCTTCAGGGATACCATGAAGTCCCCAGAACTCTAAAACATGTCTAGGCAGATCTAAGTTCCCCCACCACCTTTTCTGTCCCTTGCTCACTGAAACACACACCCAGGCCAGACTACAAAGTAGATTCCCTGCCCCAGAGCAAAACTGGCCTCAAGAAAAAAAAAAAAAAGAGATGTTCCACATCTTTCCAAAACTGGCAACAGAGCCAAAGTACCTGATTCTGGTTTCACAGAACAGCTGGCTCCTGCCCTGGCATCTCATCACTTGGTGAGCAATGCAGGAATTCTGAGGTCTAAGCTGCCCTTTGCAGAGCAAGCCAGGCCAGGGTCAGACCCAGGCTGCCAGGCCACCAGGCAAAGAGGCCCGAGAAAGGTCAGAAGTTCCCAAAACTTGTTTAAATAATATTCAAAAGGTACATAAAAAGGGAATATACATTTTTTAAAAAACCTGCATATGCTGATTTTCTTTTACTATATATAATAAAAGATTAGAAAACATTATAAACTTATATAGAGAAATTAAAATCAACCATAAGCCTGCCTCCAGGAAGCAAAACTATTACCATTCTGGTAAATTTTCTTGCAGTTATATTTAATACATAAATTGGGATCATACTGACACAGAGAGTTTAAGCTCTCAATTTCATCACTTAAAAATTCCTGGAGACATTTTTCAATATGAGCTCCTAACAGACAGAAAACCATCATATCACACACCATTTGTAAAATTCACAGGTTACTAAGAGATGTCATGGCATCCCTAAGAATAGTATTGTGCATTTAAATATAAGTTACACCCAGAAAACTGATAGGAGGAAAGCCTATTTTATTCTTCTTAAAGTATATATAATAGTAAACTCTCCTTTCTTCTCTTAGCTTAAAGAGAATCTAGGAAAGATATCTTTATGTCCTCAGCAAAGAGGCACTATATACCATTTTCCTTTTTTACATTCTCATACCTTACTTTCCCTTGATAAGGGGAAAGCTTTGAAAATTCACTGCTGAAAAAAAAATGCTGCCTTACTCAAGACAGTGCTTAGCAGCTGAAAAGAAATCTCTGGAAACAAGCGGGTAAGACAAGAAGAGCCCTGGACTTGGAAACAGAAAAACACTGCATTCAGATGTCAGTTCTGTCACTGTAGGCCCCAAGATCAAAGAACGTCATTTTCCCTGAGTGTCAAGAGAGATGCCACCACTCAACCCGCAAGGATCAAAGGATTATGCAGATTAAATAAGACGGTGTGAAAGTGGTTTGTCAATGGTAAAATACATTGCAGGACCATAATCACCAATTAATATTATAGTGGCTGCTAACAGTACTGTTTTTGTTCCTTAGCTGGCTTGAGCCACTCATTGCAGACACTCAGGACAGTGTCTAACAGTAGGTAAAAGCATGGACCCTAGAGCCAAACCGCATTTCCCAGCTTGTTGAATTCTTTAACCTCTCAGTTTCTGCATCTGTAAAACGTGATTATGATAGTACACCTACCTCTTAGAACTTTTGAAAGGATTAAAATGAGTAAATTTACACAGTGCTTAGAACAATACCAGGCACATAATAAATACTATGTAAGGGTGAGCTTTAAAACAAAAAAAACTTACACTAGCTAAAAAAACAAACGACAACAAAAAAACTTACACTACCTAAAACTAGTAGGCACACTGTTTTAAAGCTTTCCAGAAAAGTACTATCATTAATCAGAAGGTTGGATGTGTAACCTCTGCTCCCTCACCCCCAACCCAGTTCGGGTTTAACCTGCTCCCTCCCTACCTTCTCAGCATCCTGCTCGAAGAGCCGCAGCTGAAAGCACTGGTCCAGCTTGAGCTTGCGTACGTGCCACATCTGGTGCAGGTGCTGCCGCGTAGAATGCAGCTTGTCTAGGAGGCTGGTGATCTTAGGGACCAGGCTCTGGAAGTCGGCACTGCCTGGGATGCAGTTGCGTCCTGAGAAACCATCGCTGCAGCGGATGCACTGCAGCAGCCGCTGCCCTTCTCGGTCCAGCTCCTCCACAGGGGCCTTCAGCACCTTTTTCTTCAGCTGTGTGTGTTCATCAATGAGCCGCCTAGAGCCCTCCACATCCACAGGAAACTCCTTCCGGGCTAGCATCTCCTGGAGGTCCTCAAGGCGCGAGAGCAGGTGCACGGCGCTGTTGAAGAACTCCTCCAGGGAGAGCCGCAGTTCAATCCACTCCTCATGGTTGTAGTCTAGGGAGCCGTCAAACTCCTCCGTCAGCTGGGAGGGGTCCACCAGCTTCGTGAGGCCCTCCACAGATACCATGCTTGTCTGGAAGGGGCAGACACAGACAAAAATACTCAGTGATGTTGGGGGAAGAACAAAACAGAAACAGGAGGAGGGAAAGACAAGGTAAGTCCACATAATAATGACCAGAGCCTCGGGAAGGGTGAGTAGAGACCATGGGACTCACTGGTCAGAAGTCACAGATCAGCCAGGATCAGCAGTTTCTACAGACTGCTGACTGCTTCAGCAAGCCTCTCCAACTGCCCACCATTTACCCCCCAAGAAGAAATGCCTTTGTGTCCCCACTCTCCTCATTTTCCCTCCTCCTGACCCCAAGTTCACTTCAATAGGGCTTCAGATGCTAGAAGCAGAAGCTGGAAGAAAAACTGACCTAGTTTCTGGGAGACAATTTTTACAGCTTTAAAACCAAGGCCAGTGGACCCATGATGCTACCCCTTATATCATGGGTATGATGATATAAGAGTATCATCATAAGTATAAGTTGGAGTAAGCAACGTGGGCCAATGCTTGGGCTGTAAGGATTTTGTAGTCTTATCTTTTCCAAGACTCTCCCTAATAGCTCTTCTGTGGTACAGTAAACAGAACTAGGGATGGGCAACAGGTGAGTCTGGGCCCTTGGTTTTCTCTGTGAGGCCACTACAAGCTCCTGGAGAGCAGAGTGGAGAATGTTTGTCTCCAGGAAACAAAGTGGCTCCAGCAAATGATGATGCAGGCAACCACCCCAGTTTATCAGTAAAAATTGTTTCTTTCCTACAGGGTTTCAGGCTTCTCTTCTTTCTTATGAAAAATGAGAGGCTAGCAAATTAATATCTGGGTTTGGGTCCCAGCCATATGCTTACTAACTGTGCGACCCAGGGCAAGCTATTAAGGTCTCAGAGCCTCAGTCTCCTCCTCTGTATAATGAAGATAATAATTCCTTTCTCATGGGGCTTGCTGGGATTAAATGTATCAATGTGTGTAAAGCACATAGGGTACGCAGCATGGAGTACATGCTCAATCCCTGTTTGTGCTCACTGTGATGATCTGAAGGCTGCATCACTACTCAAAACCTGAAAAGCAATTTATCTCTTTATGTCTTGCTACTTACTCTCTGAGCATCCCCTCTTTGTCCCTCCTCCTTCCACCTCTCTCCTAAGAGGAAGGAAGGAGTTGCCATAAGCAGGAGGGCTGGTCTCAAACAATAGTTGTCAAACTTGTCTGGCCATTAAATCCTTTGGGGAGTGTGCAAAAATGCCAATGCTCAAACCCCATTCCTAGAAATTTTGATTTAATTGGCTACATGGGAGCTTGGACATGGGTAGGTTTAAAAGCCCTTCAGGTGATTCTAATATGCAGCTACAGTTCCAAACTCCTGCTGATCTTCATCCTTGCAACTCAAAGCATAGCTCTCAAACCAGCAGTATTGGCATCACATAGGAGCTTGTTAGAAATGCAAAATCTTAGGCCTTACCCCCAGACCTACTGAGACAGAATCTGCATTTACAAAATCCCCAGGAGACTTGTGTGCATTAAACTTTGAGAACCCCTATTCTAAAATACTTTCTCCTTCAAATATGGCTCAAAGTTTACCGCTTCTGGGAAGTCCTCCATCATTATACTTACCAATTATGTATGTTGTTGAACAAGCTTATACTCTCATTTCTGTATCACTGTCACCCCAGTCTGCACTTAGTAGTAAACTCGCTGTTCTTAAGATATTGCCTTATTAATATTCCTTTGATTGGAAGGCCCCCAGCTATCTCTCCTATACCTCTTATTTAGGAGGCAGAGACAAGCTTGCTCAACTTAGAGCAAAGGAGGTGCAGAGAGATGGGACATGCAGGCCAGAAGTGCTGAAGCAGAAGTATCAAGACTTACTGAAAAGATTCTTTTCAGTCTCTTCAGGTTACACATTTATAAGCTTGTTGTCACCACCTCTGCATAAAGAAGCCAAAATATAAAAAGCATTTCCCTACAGGACTCCTAGTGTTCTGGAGGGGTGCTGGGAGACTATCATAGGTCACTGTTTTTATACCAAGCCAAATTTCTTGTATTATTTACACAGAGTGAGAATTGCCTGCATCAAGTGTCAGGTCATTGTGCTCAAATCACAGCCTATTTGACACCACACACAGGCGCTCCTGGCTCCCAGGGTACAAAAGTCTGGAATGGGAAGCTGCTAAAGATTAAAAGCAGCTCTGTGTTTTCAGCAAACACACATTTAAAAGTTCATCCCCTTGCACATGAGGGCTGGAATTCTGAGCAAAGGAACAGTTCAAATTTGGCTGCAACAAAGACGCTTAAATCATTGATTTAATCTGATGTATTGTCATTAAAAATTCTCAGGGGAAACATGGACCCTCTAGAAAATTTAGTTTAAAAACAACATGCTTTATTTGATTATAAAAGCAATACATCACCCTTGAAAAAAATAAAAATATATGAAGTAAATAAAAACCACCCATTATCCAGTCACCTAGAATAAACCAGTCACCTGGAATGAACCATCACTAACTTTGTCACATGTCTCAGTCTTCTTCTCCAGGCATACACTTTAAAAATAAATCTCAGATTATACTCCCCATATTAACCTGCATTTTTACTGAACATTAAAAATTTTTAATACTATTTTTCTAAATATGGATTTTAATGGCTTCATGGTATTTGTGGAGTTTCTTTTAAATTGTACTTTAGATTCTGGGGTACATATGCAGATCATGCAGGGTTGTTGCATAGGTGCATACATAACCAGGTGGTTTGCTGCCTCCATTCCCCCTTCATCTATATCCAGCATTTCTCCCCACATTATCCCTCCCCACCCTCCCCACCCCCTGCTGTCCCTCCCCCAGCCCCCCACAACTGACCCCAGTGTGTGATGCTCTTCTCCCTGAGTACACATGTTCTTATTGTTCAACACCTGCCTATGAGTGAGAACATGCAGTGTTTGGTTTTCTGTTTTTGTGTCAGTTTGCTGAGAATGATGGTTTCCAGATTCATCCAACTCCCTACAAAGTACACGAACTCATCGTTTTTTATGGTTGTGTAGTAGTCCATGATGTATATGTGCCACATTTTCTTTGTCCAGGCTCTCGCTGATGAGCATTTGGATTGGTTTCAGGTCTTTGCTATTGTACACAGTGCCGCAATGAACATACATGTGCAAGTGTCTTTATAACAGAACAATTTATAATCCTTTGGGTATATACCCAGTAATGGGATTGCTGGGTCAAGTGGAATTTCTATTTCTAGATCCTTAAGGGATCGCCACACTGTCTTCCACAATGGTTGGACTAATTTACACTCCCACCAACAGTGTAAGAGTGTTCCTGTTTCTCCACATCCTCTCCAGCATCTGTTGTCTCCAGATTTTTTAATGATTGCCATTCTAACTGGCAGGAGATGATACCTCAATGTGGTTTTGATTTGCATTTCTCTAATGACCAGTGATGATGAGCATTTTTCCATATGTTTGTTGGCCTCATATACGTCTTCTTTTGAGAAGTGTCTGTTTATATCCTTTGCCCACTTTTGAATGGGTTTGCTTTTTTTAGACAGAGTTTCACTCTGTTGCCCAGGCTGGAGAACAGTGTGCAATCTCAGCTCACTGCCTCTCATGTTCAAGCAATTCTCCTGCCTCAGTCTCTCGAGTAGCTGGTATTACAGGCATGGCCACCATGCCTGGCTAATTTTTGTAATTTTAGTAGAAATGGGTTTTTGCTGTATTGGCCAGGCTGGTCTCAAACTCTTGACCTCAAGTAATCCACCCACCTAGGCTTCCCAAAGTGCTGAGATTACTGGCATGAATCACCATGCCCAGCCAGTATCTGTGTATTAATGTCACCAAAATTAATAGCTCATAAGGATAAAACCTATATGTGAATGTATATGTACTATATATGTATACATATTTATGCACATGTGGACATATACTATTGTATAGGAACATATGAGCTGTGATGAACATTCTTGTAAACATTTTTTGTTTGCAATTTTACTTAACTTTTTACCTTTTGTTTGTAGAAATTTTCTATTAAGACTATTTTCTTAAATTAGGCTGGGCACAGTGGCTCACGCCTGTAATCCCAGCACTTTGGGAGGCAGAGGTAGACGGATCACCCGAGGTAAAGAGTTTAAGACCAGCCTGGCCAACATATTGAAACCCCATCTCTGCTAAATATACAAAAATTAGTGGGATATGGTGAAAGGTGTCTAAATCTGAGCTACTTGGGAGGCTAAAGCAGAAGAATCACTTGAACCCGGGAAGCAGAGGTTGCAATGAACCAAGATCATGCCACTGAACTCCATCCCGGGTAACAGAGTGAGACTCCATCTCACACACACACACACGAAGAATATTTTCCTAAATTGTTTGCTAGGTATAGAAATACACTTAAATAGAAGAATAGAAGAAATAAGTTCTAGTATTCAATAGCACAGTAGAGAAATTACAGTTAACAATCATTTATGATACATTTCAAAGTAGCTGGAAGAAAAGAATTGCAATGTTTCTAGCACAAAGAATTGATAAATGTTTTAGATGATGGGCATCTCTTTTACTCTGATTTGATCATTACACATTGGATACAGGCATCAAAATGTCACATGTACCCCAAAATATGTACAACTATGATACAGCAATAAAAAAAGAATTGCTAGATCAATGGACATAAACTCTTCCTAAGATATTTGATACAAATTGCAAAGTTGCCTCCAGAAATAAGTTGTTCCAACTTACACAACTATCGACAGTAAATAAGACTGTCTAATGAAGGTGTACATTTGGGACAATCTCATGAGCCTCTAGTTCCTCCCCACACTCTACATGGTAAAGCTGTGGTGGCCAAGGAATCCTGAAATCTCAGCCCTTGATGCGTCACATACTGTATGGTAGATGGAGAAGAGGAAGTGAGAAATGTGTGGATGGCAGAAGAGGAAGGAAAGAAGATGCTAAGAGAGAGAAGTCTGGCTCACCTCAAAGATGAATTTGGAGCTGCCAAAGTTGGTCTTCTGTTTCTGCCAGAAGTTGTCGGGTTTGATGATGAGGGCCACATGGATCTCAGCTGGAAAAGCTTCCTGCAGCGTTTTGAGGAGGGGCTTGATGAGGTCCCACTTGGAGCCCCGCATGTCGATGATGACAGTGAAGCCACGTTTGCACACGTCCTCACTGTGGGGAGGTCAGAGGTCGGTATGGTCATTCTGTGTAGCTAAGACTTTGGAGTACACAGTCAAAATGCACCCGGAAACCTGCACTCCCATTGATCAAAATGACTCCTTCAACTTCTCGCCAGGTTTCTTGCCACCTTCAAGCCCAACTCAAACTGTACTGCCTCAGAAAACCTTTCTACATTTGACCAATGGTCCTGGAATTCTGCCTTCTCCCAGCACTTGGCAAATAACTTGTCCTTCCTTTTACAGGTTGGGTATCCCTAATCCGAAAATCCAAAATTTGAAATGCTCCAAAACTTGAAACTTCCAGAGTGTCAACATGATGCTCAAAGGAAATGCTTACTGTTGCATTTCAGAGTTTGGATTTTTGGATTAGGGACCCCTTACCTGGCAAGTAGAATGCAAACATTAAAAAAAAAAAAATCCGAAGTCCAAAACACTTCTGGTCCCAAACATTTTGGGTAAGAGCTACTCAACCCGCAGTCAACTATACTTGTTGGGATGTTTACAATTTAAGTATTCACAATTATATTTGATTTTTTTCTTTACCTTTTGCCTCCTTTTCTTATTCCTAAAATGAATCATGTTTTCCCCATTGAAATTCAAGTTTTCTAAAGACAAAGACCCTGTCGCCTCTTAAACCTGAGATGGAAAGTCCTTGACAGGAGTGTTGTTCTTCCCTGTGCCCACATCAATGACAGACACTGGTACATTTTTACCACTGAACCAAACTGGACCAAAGAATACTTTTTAAAAAAGGGTTCTAGGTTGATTCTGCCAGTCGATTAGAGATGGCACACAAAGTATTAATAATATGTATTTACCACCATTGTATTTAAGATGTATTACTTGCATTTTTATTCCTTCTTTTTACTTTTTTTTTTTTAAAGAGTCAGGGTCTCCCTATGTGCACAGGCTGGAGTGCAGTGGATATTCCCAGGCATCATAACAGTGCACTATAGTCTCAAAACTCCTGGCTTCGAACGATCCTCCCACCTCAGCCTTCCAGGTAGCTGGGATTACAGGCTTGCACCACCATGCCCAGCTTTGTGGTTTAAAATGTACGTCAACTTAAAAAATCAGGTCGCTGAGTCATGCTGATCACTCAGAGACAGCCAAGAGTGGAACTGACTGGAACAGAAGATGCAGACCAGTTGTCTCATGTATTTCCATTATAAGAGGCACAGTGTGAAATGTGTATTTCAGGCCGGGCGCGGTGGCTCACGCCTATAATCTCAGCACTTTGGGAGGCCGAGGCGGGTAGATCACGAGGTCAAGAGATTGAGACCATCCTGGTCAACAAGGTGAAACCCTGTCTCTACTAAAAATACAAAAATTTGGGCATAGTGGTATGTGCCTGTAGTCCCAGCTACTCGGGAGGCTGAGGCAGGAGAATTGCTTGAACCCAGAAGGCAAAGGTTGCGGTGAGCCGAGATCATGCCATTGCAGTCCAGTTTGGGTAACAACAGCGAAACTCCGTCTCAGAGAAAAAAAAAAAAAAAAAGAAAGAAATGCATATTTCAAGATGTTAAAGGAGGTTGGGGGAGGAGTAACTTTTGAAATCAAGGCAAGTTGAAGGGACAGTGACCATCTTGAAAACCAAGCCATAGGCAGGCTAAATAAATCAAGATGTTTCTATATAACTTAGTAGCAAAGTTTATTTAAACATTTGAACTTTGACTGTAACTCCTGAAAATAGGAAGGAAAAAAATGAAGGTCAGAATAGTCATAATATCTCAGTTTGGAAGAAAGTCTATGTTTGGGTAGTTAGGGGTCTTTTCTTCTCTCTGTTTTTTTAAGCCAATCCATTTATTTTATAATTCAAAATAGACATTGGCTAATCCACATTTTAAAATATAAATACCAGTATAGTATTTCCTTAAGGTCTTCCACTTAAAAATTCCCGTTTCACAGACCGCACTTGTTTAAATCACTATGTATGCTACATGACCCTCATATGTGCCTACCATGTATCAGTTACTTACAGCTGCTGGCAGTAAGGCGATGGTTGAAGGATTCAGGTCACAAAAAAATAAAAACCTTTTTTTGGACTTTATTCTCAAATTTCAACCAGTGATGAGAATGTTACAGCCTCATGAAGAGACTGCAGCTCCTGACTGTGTGCGTGCCTCAAGCAAAGGGCAGCTTATTTAGGCTTCCCTGGTACACAGAAAATTCCCCAGGAGACAGAACTCTCTTTAGCATGAGAGAAAGGCTGAGTATTCTCCCCAGATCCTGCATCTGAAAGGAACGGAGTTGCCTCTTCTTCTCTGACACTTACTGAAACAACGAGTGGCCAAAGTTTTCCATAAATAATTTTTCTACCCACTTGTCTGAAAGCAATGTGACTTTTTTCCTAAATTACAGGATTTCTTTCCCATCATAAGAGAAACACACTATAATTACAGAAAAGTTAAAGTAGTCAAAGATCCACACAAGAGATACTAATGATAGGACTTTATAACACCTAGGCCTATTTCCTTTCCACCTTTTCTGTGCATATAGTTTTCGTACCATATACTGTTCTACTTTTCACTGTAACATACAGTTTTTTCTCATGTCTAAAATTTCTTCCAACCTGTTGGTTGCATTTAGTGATAGTCCATCTTATGCCTACACCATAATTTATTGAGTCATTCTCATGATTGCTTTACAAAAAGGTAGGTCAACAGTACCCCCATTACGGTATCCTCACCAGCACTGCTCTTTGAATTTTAAATTGTTGCCTATTTTATTCAAAAATATGTTATATTATATTTAAATTTACATTTTTTGATTACTAGCTATTGCTTTTTGGCCCACAAATATTTTTTCTGTGAATTACCTGATCAGCTCTTTTATCCATCTTTCTACTAGGAATGAGTGGCTATTGGGATTTAGAGGTTTTCTCACTGAGCATCATTTAGTTTAGCTTGACTTATATTTGTTGCATGCCCACCTATGTCAGGTTTGGCAACGTTAACTATGGTTCTTGCCTTTCCTTAGAGATGATGGTCTTCCTTATTTCCCTGCTCCTCAGATTCCATCTCTGTGGCCATTATTATGTTGACCTGAGAATTCTTTGTCCCTAAGAACAAATATTCCATGTTGCTACCAAGAGCTAGAGGTTGACAATCCCAGCATCTAAAGGTGGTGGTCAGTAGCAGGTTATGCCCTGTTAACTAATCATTTCTGACAACTAAAAGTAGAAACTAGGTACTAATATTCTCTAGGAGGTTCTCAATAACTCAGGAGATGGAAAAAGAGGCCCAGGAGATGAGTGCTGTGACTTAACTTAATAGACATCTGTCTGTGAAAACAGGCTAATCTTCCAAGGTGCTTTGTGTGTGCTTTGGTTTTAAATAAGGGGCATAGCTGGGAAAGGAGAAACAACTATTTTGTATGTGCTCATTCCATGCTGGGGCTATCACTTCATTATATCCTAACAATAACTTCATAAACTAGGTATGGTTATCCGCATGTGAGAGAAGATGAAATTGAGGCATAAAATTTGCCTAAGATCACATAACTAGTAAGTGGCTAAGCAGAAATTCAAAACCAGGACTGTTGACTTGAAAACCCAAGCTCAGGCTGAGTGTGTTGGCTCACATGTATAACCCCAGCACTTTGGGAGGCTCAGGTAGGCAGATCACTTGAGGTCAGGAGTTCAAGACCAGCCTGGCCAGTGGGGTAAAACCCCATCTCTATTCAAAAATACAAAAAAAAAAAAAAAAAAAAAAGAAAACTCAAGCTCAGGTCACTATATCATACTATACCCCACCACACTGATACTATGTATGGATGTTTTGGTTTGGGGACAGGAGTTGGGGGTCCCCAAACTGGGGATTAAGTTAGTGGACTCAGAGGACATGGGGTAAATTAGGGCAAGGAGTCTAAGTGAATGACCTCCATTCTGCAGTCTATGTGAAATCACAGTTAGAGAAGCAAAACAGCATGGCATATTGTGAAAATTCAAGCAATTAGCTCTGGTTCAGGTCTTTGAATACAACAAAGTGCAGCTCTGAGTGCTTTGGAGAGCCCCATTTTGGGCTCTGTCCCTCCTTTTGCCCACAAACCCCCCAAGGAGCCAAGATGACTCACCACATAGAGTCTGTGCTGCACCTCCCTCTTTTCCTTCTAGGCCAAGCTCCTAGTATCTGAAACCCTAACACTCTCTGCCCAAAAGGCCCTTAGCCTACCTCCTGGGCTCATGGGTATCTCTTTCCAGGGTCCAATTCCCAAGGGCAAGTAACACCACCTACGCCTGGAGGGTGACAAAGGGCTGCTATTTGCAAGGATGTGGTTAGAATATAAATGTGCGAGCTGGGGTGCTCACTTGCATGCATGAGGCTCCCTGCCATACAGAGCTGAGCTGGGGAGTGGAGAGAGAAGGCAGGCAGAGCATGAGTTGGGGGCTGATCTACTGTGCTGCCACATTTAGGCCTAGGAGCTCAAAGGAGTCCAACAAATCTAAATTTAAATTTGGCCTCATAGGTTGCTGTGAAGATATATTTGTCCAGGTAGAAGGACAGAACATGTTTTATTTAACAGTTTGTTAGCTTGCTACATTAATTTTAAATATTCAGACAAAGGGTATGTGAGCTGCCATTTGTACTCTTGCCCTAGGCACCACAATGTTAGAATCAGGCCTTGCAAGAGAAGAGACTGGAGTGGATATAAGCTTCAAATCAGAATGCTCCTCATATGTGAAGGCAGGAGCGTTGGATTTGTCCTAAAGGCAATGAGGAACTACTGAAGGGTAGGATTCAGAAAAGGAACATAATCAGGTGATTTGGAGAGATTATCCTCCAGCTGTACAGAAAGAGAGTAAGTTGGGGTCAGCCCAAAGGAGTGTAACAGTAGAAGGGTCCTTGCTAAAATGACTCTTCAAGGAAGTCGTCCATGGACCATCCTAGTTAAACCTGTAACTGTCACCTGGCACTCCTAACTCCCCTCCTCTTTGTTTTTCTCCTTGGCACTTATTACCATACGGATAATACATTTTATTTATTTGCCTAC